AGACAAAGGAGCGTCGTGTGATTGGTCATGTTTTAACACAGTCTTGAGCATGCTCAGTACGCCAATACCTTATTTGGCATGATTCTCTGTAATGCATTACCTCATTCTACCCCACTTTCATATGCGCCTCTTCACATATTACTGTCATCATCTGGGGCCCTGCTTCAAATTCCTCAGCCTTGGGAAAAGGGACCAGTATCAATTAGGGATAGGGCCTTATATGTGGAAAGTCCTGTTGAATATATCAATCAGTTTCTGTACTTATGCTGCCTCAGTTAGTGAGGGTGTTCCTGGCTCCCCTCAAAAAAAAAAGGGCCTTTGGGTCAACTGGGTTATTTTTCTACCTCATTCATTTTAGTTTTTGTTGTGTATTGAGTCAAAGGATTTTATATCTGTATTATTATTGTCTGTATTTGCATTAGGGTAAAGGAACTGCCTTTTGGTTCCAGAGGGTACAGCTACTATTGGTTCATTTAAGCTGCTGTATTTGGATCCTCTGTCTTATTGGTTCCCTCCAAAAGGCAGGACTGTGATTGCCTGATATTGTTCCCTCCAAAATGTATCCTTTCTTGCTAGTTCCCTGTCCCTATAAATGTAGCTTTCCTCTCACCAGTCTGGAGTCTTGTGCTTTAATAAAGAAGTGTTACTAGAGAACAGTCTCCAGCATGTTATATCAGGAGAGCTGAAATCACAAACCCCACGTCACAACAACTGGCGACGAAGGTGGGATCCGGAATGCTGAGGAGCGGTTAAACGCAGCCCTGCCTCAGAGTCCGGATTGCAGCTAGGAACAAGACTCACTGGCCAGCTGAGAAGACGACCCTGCCACAGGACAATGGAGAGTCCAAGGGTATTGGAGCCCTTCCAGCCATCAGAGCCTGACACGTGGGAAGACTACGTCGAACGCTTCGAGTTCTTCGCAGAGGCTCAAGGGATCACCGATGCCAGCAAAAGAAGGGCCACATTCCTGAGCTACTGTGGGCCTGAGACCTTCAAGCTGGCCAAGGCATTGCTTGCTCCAGCGAAGCTAAGTGAGACATCTCTCAAAGATATTCTTGCCTGCCTAACAAGCCACTTGGCGCCTACTGAGACCAAGATGGCTCGGCGGATGGAGTTTCATAAGAGGCAGCAGCATGCCGGGAGTCTGTATCTGCATTTCTGGCTGAACTGCGGAAGCTCGCTCAGCACTGCGACTTCCAAAATCTGGAAGAGACTCTCCTGGATCGGTTTATCGGTGGTCTGAGCAGCAAGAAGGCCAGAAGACGCATCGTGGCTAAAGAAGAGGTTACCCTTGCTTCAGCCTTGAAGGAGGCCACCGCCACGGAGAATTATGAAAGAGAGGAGCTTGATGCCAGTCGCAAGGCCCCTAAGCCACAGATAGAAGTTGCGCATGCCATGGACGAGCTAGAGGCTACTCCGAGCCAGAGCCCAGTCCGTGGGGTCGAGTCAGTGAGTCAGGCCTGCACAGTGCACAAAGATCACCGAGGCAGGTGCCCAGGTTGTGGCGGAAACCATGAGCGGAAGAGTTGTCGTTTCCGGGATGCTATGTGCCGGACGTGCGGGAAGACAGGTCACATCGCCAGGGTCTGTAGATCGGCGGCGTTGGGAGCGACAGGAGCACCTAGACCGGAGCATCGCAGACCGCCCGCAGCAACCCATTTCCTAAAGGACTGCCACTACGTTACGGAGATCAACGGGAGGGTCGTGCAGTTCCCAGCACAAGGCAAGGCACACGTCAAGGTGGAGATTGAGGGTCAGCAGTGCGACATGGAGGTGGACTCCGGATCTGGATTCACTATCGTGTCGGACCAGACCGCGAGGACATTCTTCCTCAGGGGTAAGTTGCCCCCTCTGGAACCCTTCCCGGCAACCTTGCAGTCATACTCAGCGGGCCGCATCCATGTTATGGGAATGTGTGCCGTGAGAGTACAGTTCCGGGACAAACAGGCTGTACTCAAACTGGTGATTGCGAAGGGCAGTCGCCCCAGTCTCCTGGGCACTGACTGGTTCCCCGCCCTGGGACTGAGTATATCAGGGCTTAATTCAATCCAAACCTGCCCTGGGATGAGCGAGGCATTATGCAAAGAATTTGCTGGTCTCTTTAATGGAAAACTGGGTTGTTATAAAGGGCCCCCAGATGACTTCGAGTTGGACCCTGGGGTGGCCCCAATCCGACTCAAACCAAGGCGAGTGCCATTTGCACTGCAACCCAAGATCGAAGCAGAGCTGGATAAATTGGTCAAGCAGGGAGTTCTCTCACCCGTGGACTCTGCTAAGTGGGAGACTCCAATCGTCACGCCCTTAAAGCAAATGGGGAAGTCAGGATCTGTGCAGATTACAAATGTACTATCAATAAGGCACTCAGGGGAAACTCATACCCCATTCCAGTCGTATCACATCTGTTGGCTAAACTGGCTGGGGGCAAGGTGTTCGCCAAAATTGACCTGGCACAAGCTTACCAACAGCTGCCAGTAACCCCACAATCAGCGGAAGCACAGACTATCGTCACACATAAAGGGGCGTTCAGAGTTAACAGATTACAATTTGGAGTCTGTGTGGCCCCAGGGATTTTTCAAGGGCTCATGGAACACCTGTTAAGAGGTCTGCCGGGGGTCTTGCCATTTTTTGATGACGTTTTGATTGCTGGAAAAGACCCACAGGAACTGGTTGCGCGTGTTCGTGCAGTGTTGCTCAAGTTCAAGGAGGTGGGGTTGCAACTGAAAAAGGCAGTTTTGGGGTGCCAACTGTGGATTTCTTGGGGTTTAAAATTGATGCATCAGGCATCCACCCCACAGATGCTAAGATTAAGGCCATCATCGAGGCGCCACGACCACAGAACAAGACGGAGTTGCAGTCATTCCTGGGACTTATTAACTTTTATCATTCGTTCTTACCCCAGAAAGCTTCGGTAGCTGAACCATTACATAGACTGTTGCAGAAAAAGACTGTGTGGCGATGGGGGCAGGGGCAGCAGAAGGCTTTTGACTCCTTGCGAGGAATGCTGAGTAGCAGGAGTGTCCTTGCTCATTATGACGAGTCAAAGCCTCTGGTCCTGGCATGTGATGCCTCTCAATACGGCCTGGGGGCGGTGCTAAGTCATAGGGAACCGGATGGGTCGGAAAAGCCCATCTCTTTCTATTCCCGTACGTTGTCGCCCACGGAGCGCAACTATGCTCAAGTTGACAAAGAGGCGCTTGCAATTGTGGCAGGAATCAAAAAGTTCCATGATTATGTGTACGGTCGCCATTTCTACATTGAAACGGACCACAAGCCACTGTTAGGGTTGTTCAACCCGAACAAACAAACGCCTACAAATTCTCTCCCCAGAATGTTACGTTGGTCTATATTCCTGAACGGGTTCCAGTACACCTTGACCCATGTGCCGGGAAACGGTGGTGCCACGCGGCTGCGCTGAGTCAATTGCCCCTTCCTGGCGGGAGCACTGAGGATCCTGCTCCAGCGGAGCACATAATGATGCTGGAAACACTTCCGGGGGCTCCTGTAACAGCTACTGATATAGCTGAGAGAACGAGGAAAGATGCTGTTCTCTCCCGTGTGCTCACTTGGGTGGGGAGGGGGGTGGCCAGGTGGTCCGCATGAAGACAAATTCAGGCCTTATGCGACTAGGCAGCACGAGTTGTCCATGCATAAGGGTTGTCTCCTGTGGGGAGATAGGGTCATCATCCCAGCACCACTGAGAAACAGGGTTCTTGAGACGCTTCACATGGGACACCCGGGAATGGTCAGGATGAAGTCGCTAGCCCGATGTTATGTGTGGTGGCCTGGAATGGACCAGAACATAGAACAATGGGTACGAACATGCAAGGCATGCCAAGAGGTGCGGCCAGAAGTGGCCAGAGCACCAGTCCACTGGTGGGAGCAGTCCAGATCTCCCTGGAGCCGGCTGCACTTAGATTTTGCTGGGCCATTCCAAGGGAAGGTCTTTTTGGTTATCGTTGATGCATATTCCAAATGGTTAGAAGTGGCGATGGTCCCTAGCATGGCATCAGCTGCCGTCATCAAGGTGTTGAGGCAGCTGTTTGCAACCCACGGGTTACCTGAGACCATTGTATCAGATAATGGGGCTGCTTTTGTATCCCAAGAATTCAGGGCATTCTTGGCTGATAACTTCATAAGAGGGGTCACATCCGCGCCCTTTCACCCATCCTCCAATGGGCAGGCTGAGCGCATGGTAAGAACAGCCAAAGAATCCATTGCGCGCTTAATGGAGGGTAACCGGTCAGCTTGCATCGCGCGAATGTTATTTTTGCAGCATGCGACGCCGTGTACCGCAACGGGCAAGTCGCCAGCTGAGCTGCTCTTGGGTAGGAGACTGGTAACGGTGCTGGATTATGTCCACCCGGATAAAATGCCAAACCATAATTCAAGAGCAACCCCCCAGGCTGAGACTGACACAACAAGGTATCTCGCCCTGAAGATCTGGTCTGGGTGAGGAACTATTCACGAGGTTCGCGGTGGGTGGCTGGTGTGGTCACCCGGGCTAGTGGACCTGTCCTATTATGTGACCTTGGAAAATGGGCAAGTGTGGAAGAGACATATAGATCAGCTGAGGCGCCGGGCGCTCAGCAGGGAGGAGCCAGATAATTCATCCCTGGCTAACGACGCAAAGCTGCAAGACCAGAGTGAAAATGGCCCAGAGGTGCAATCACCAGGGGCTTTAACAAATGAACCAGGGTCTGCTAGTCCTCACGATGACGAGGTACAGATAGGGGACCCTGAGATGTCGGGGACTCCATCTGTTCCTGACGAAACCCCTAGAGCAGCCCCTCTACCACAGGTAACACCCAATCCAGAACCTGCAACACCTGTTGTCAGGAGATCAAGTAGAAGTTGTAGGCCCCACAGTACCTGAGAGATTACGTCTGCTGTGCTCACTAGGGGGGAAGGGGTGTTGTGTATTGAGTCAAAGGATTTTATATCTGTATTATTATTGTCTGTATTTGCATTAGGGTAAAGGAACTGCCTTTTGGTTCCAGAGGGTACAGCTACTATTGGTTCATTTAAGCTGCTGTATTTGGATCCTCTGTCTTATTGGTTCCCTCCAAAAGGCAGGACTGTGATTGCCTGATATTGTTCCCTCCAAAATGTATCCTTTCTTGCTAGTTCCCTGTCCCTATAAATGTAGCTTTCCTCTCCCCAGTCTTCAGTCTTGTTGCTTTAATAAAGAAGTGTTACTAGAGAACTGTCTCCAGCATGTTATATCAGGAGAGCTGAAATCACAAACCCCACGTCACAACAGTTTTAACCCCCCCCCCGGGACTTTTAAAAGAGGTTCTATATTGTTTTTATTAATTAGAAAGTTTATTGCAGGTTTTAAAGGATTCTGGGTGTTTTATTCTGTATCTCTTACGGTTGGTAAATAAGTCTCCTTGGAAAAACAAGCAGGATGGAAAATCTTGAAAGAAATGAAACAAATATTCTTTAATTTCTAAGGGCAGCATTCAACTAATTAGTTGTGCTAGGAGGATCCCATTGCAAGGATTTCTGCTAGGGCAGGGGTCAGCAACCTTTTTCAGCCGTGGGCCAGTCCACCGTCTCTCAGACCTTGTGGGGGACCGGACTATATTTTTTGGGGGGAAATGAACAAATTCCTATGCCCCACAAATAACCCAGAGATGCATTTTAAATAAAAGCACACATTCTACTCATGTAAAAACACCAGGCAGGCCCCACAAATAACCCAGAGATGCATTTAAAATAAAAGGACACATTCTACTCATGTAAAAACACGCTAATTCCCGGACCATCCGTGGGCCGGATTGAGAAGGTGATTGGGCCGCATGCGGCCCCCAGGCCTTAGATTGCCTATCCCTATGCTAGGACAACTGGGCTTTCCTTTCTTTTCCCCTTTCCCTCCCCTCCAAATTTACTCTGAAGGAACAAGAGAACCCCCAGAAGAGCACACAGGTGGGGGGGAGAGAAGGTCATTTCATCAGGAAAGCAGAAATACTTGAGGTGATCTCCCAAACACTGCTTTCATTTCCACCCTAAGATCAGATCCTGCAATGCCGGTCTGGTGACGCCATATGGACATTAACTGAATAAAATCAAATAACATGATTCAACATGGATTCAGATAGCAATGAAATGGGGAATATAAATCTTTAAAAGAGAAAGGGATATTACTATATCACCTTTATATTGTCCAGAGACTAGTTTCTTTTGTGCTTCATGTGGAGGAAAGAAGTAGTAGATGTTAATAATAATAATAATAATAATAATAATAGATGATAATAATAATAATAATAATAATAATAATAATAATAACAACAACAACAACAATAATATTTGTACCCTACCCATCTGGCTGGGTTGCCCCAGCCACTTTGGGAAGCATCCAGCAGGTATAAAAACACAGTAAAACCTTAAAAAGCTTCCCTATACAGGGCTGCGTTCAGATGTTCCCTAAATGTTATATAAATACTCATCTCGTTAGCATCTGACAGGAGAGCGTTCCACACGTCTTGCCATTTAAGGCGTTAAAGGTCAGCACCAACGTTTTGAATTGTACACGGAAACGTATTGGAAGCCAATGTAGGTCTTTTGGAACTGGTGTATGGTCATGCGACAAAGGTATTTGAGAGCAGAAACAGTAAAGGAAGCAGTAAAGGAGTCGAGAAATGTTGTGAAATGCTGAAAAGCTGCAGAATCATTTAGCATGCTGAACCACTGTGACTCATCTTGAGGATGACTCATTCTCTGTACTGTATAAGTATTGTATTTGCTTGCAGGCAGACTCAGTGTCTGTGAGTCAGTCAGTGTGTGTGTTCTGTGAAGCCTGTGCTCAAGGGAGACTCTGTGCGACTCAGTAACTCTGTGTTTGCTCTGAAGATAGTTTAATCTTCTGTTCATTATGCTGTTATTTGAAAACAAGTTTATTTTAACTCAGTAAAACTTATATTCTTTTACTGAAGAAGACTCTGCATTATTCATTTACGCTGCGTGTAAGTAATGTGCTCTCGGCAGCCACTCCCAGTCACCAGTCTAGCTGCCGCATTCTGGATTAGTTGTAGTTTCCGAGTCACCTTCAAGGCCCCACAGGAGATAACCAACGCATGTACCACTCTGGTGAGATGGTGCACAGGCAGGTTGGGTGTCAGCCAGTGTACCAGATGGAGCTGATAGACAGTCACCCTGGACACAGAATGTTAGATTGGCATATCGGGAAATGAACAATCAATTCAAATTCACTGGTTTTATTCCTGCAGTGCTATGCCAAACAAGAACTGGTTTTTATGTTACACCATCAGATGTTCCTTTTTATTCAGATCTGGCCTCAGGACAATAATGTAGCACTTGGGCATGAAGATGCAACCCAGTAACCCCGAACTGGAGGCCAAGATAGAGAAGACCTGCACGGCTACCATATATTTCCCCTTGGTGCTCAGGTAGGCTGGCACAAAGGACACCCAAACACTGCAAAACACCAGCATGCTGAAGGTGATCAGCTGGGCTTCGTTGAAGGCCCCAGGCAGCTTCCTGGCTAGGAAAGCCACCGTGAAGCAGACGGCCGCCAGAAAGCCCATGTAGCCAAGGGCAGAAGAAAACATGGCAACAGAGCCTTCGTTACATTGCAGAATGATCTGCCCAGGCTGGGAGTGCATGTCGGAGTCTGGGAAGGGGGGAGACATTCCCAGCCAGACCATGCAGATGCCCCCTTGGACACTGGAAAAGACAAGACCAGGCAGTTGGCCAAGCTCTTGCCCAGCCATTTCCTCATCTGGCTCCCTGGCTTTGTGGCCATAAACGCCACCACCACAGTGATGGTCTTTGCCAACAGGGAAGACACGCCCACGGAGAAGATGATGCTGAAGGCAGTTTGTCGGAGAAGGCAGGTCCACTTCTGGGGCCGACCGATGAATAAGAAGGAGGACAAGAAGGAGAGCAGGAGAGAGACAAGGAGCAAGTAGGTGAGGTCCCGGTTGTTGGCCTTGACTATTGGTGTGTCAAAGTATTTAATGAAGATTCCCAAAAGAAAACCAGCGGTGAGGGACAAAAACAGGGCAAAAGAAGCCAGGATGATCCCCAGAGGTTCTTTATAGGACAAGAAATGTATAATCTTGGGGATACACTGATCTCTGTGTTCATTGGAATTCTGATCATCTGGACATTTGTTGCATTGCTTTGCATCTGAAAAACACAAGAGTGACCTCAGTGTTGCCAATATAAATATTATAGCCATGACATTCCAAAGTCTGCTACATACCAACAATTCTGTGATTCCTATCTGATTACTGTATTTTGGGTTGTCGGTTTGCCTTGAAGCAATTTTGGGCTATAATTTGGGGTCAGAATAAAAGTATTAGGGGTCAGCATATCCCATTGAGCTCCTTTAATGGGGCAAAGCCCCACTCCATAGGTACCAATGCCTAGAATTGAAGGTGATTTTCTACTATGAAAAGACAGCTTTTTAAATATCCTTTCAGGGACATTTACCTTCCTGAATGGAGATTGTTCCTTCCATGCATTCAACACAAGCATAGCAGCAGATTGGTTCCCCCTCCTTAATGGCCTTGGCATATCCTGGACGACAGTTTTCGGTACACCTTGAAAGAGGCACGTTCTAGCCAAAATGAGAAAAAGCATCGAGCAGAAGATGTTAGGACTTTGTGGATAGGAGCCATAGAGTGCAGCTAGGATTGAAGCATACAATGGGGTTAGGACTGCAGCATAAGATATGCAGGTATCAGTTTGCTGCCGACTGGCCAAGACCATAGTATTGCTTGGTCTGAGGCATCAAAGAGAATAAGTTGTGATTAATTATTTGACCCACCTGTTTGAACCATCTGGGCCACACAATGACATTTCGGTCAATGGCAAACTTGATTTTCTCTGGAGATGCTGATCTCTCTACACTCCCAACTTTCAACCCAACAAGGGACTTATTGGGAAACGCCACCCAGTTGACAATGTCAAAGTCAGCTGCCAGTTCCCCATTCTCATCCCAGTAAGCTCCATCCATGGAAAAGTTGTAAAGGTGGAGGTTTCTTAGGAAAGAGTGCAGCTAAAATGGTACAGGAAAACACACACATGATTAGGAAACGAGGAACAAAGTTGCGTACGTGAGCCTTGCTCACTTGGAACTCCAGTTTCCAATGGTGCAGTCCCTCAAAGACTCAGATGTGGCAGCGGCTATTATTTGGAGGTGAAGTGTGTCTATTTCTGGTTCTTCTTTAGACTCATTAATGAAAGCAAGTTTGGTGTAATAATTATGGTGTTGGTATAGGATTAGGAAGACCAGGGTTCAAATTCCAGCTCTGCCATGAAGCTCACTGGCTGACCTCAGGTCAGTCACCACCTTGCAGTCAGGATACAATAGGGGGGGGGGGGAGAGCCATGTGCTCCTTTTTGGTCTCCTCAGAGGAAAAGTGTGACACAAATGTAGCCATAAATCAAATATAAGCTTCATTTTGCGTCTTGATTAGGCAGTTGGGAGCAATGTACGCATTGCTCCTCTCTGTTTTAAAAAGTGTGCTTCAGCCAGGAAATTTTATTTTGGAGGAAAAAGCAGCTGTGGGGTCTCAATGAGAGCCAGTGTGGTGTAGTGGTTAGGAGCGATAGACTCGTAATCTGGGGAACCGGGTTCGCATCTCCGCTCCTCCACATGCAGCTGCTGGGTGACCTTGGGCCAGTCACACTTCTTTGAAGTCTCTCAGCCCCACTCACCTCACAGAGTGTTTGTTGTGGGGGAGGAAGGGAAAGGAGAGTGTGAGCCGCTTTGAGACTCCTTTGGGTAGTGATAAAGCGGGATATCAAATCCAAACTCCTCCTCCTCCTCCTCCTCCTCCTCCTCCTCCTCTCCTTCTTCTTCTTCTTCTTCTTCTTCTTCTTTATCTGCAACATGCTCGCAATCCTGATCAGGTCCACTTCAGTTTCCCATCAAACGCCCCCCCTCCCTCAGGTGTTATTTGCTCCAATAGTATGACTATTGGCAGCTCTTTCATGGCCGCTAGCTAGATTTGCCTCCACAGTTGGGGCCAGCAATGCCTTTTTACCTTTACAAGTTGTATATATGCAAAGGGGGGGGGAGCTGCCCTCGACCACAGACCCCGCTCCCTTGCATGCAAGTACTAATCGAACAGGGGGATTACAAAATAAACAAAATCACCACATCTGCGTCTCAAAAAAAGCAAACCCCATTTCAAATTGCCCACTTGGAGCAATGGTGCAGTCCCTCAAGGACTCAGCTAGGTGCATTAACCCATTGAGATATTGAGTATTACTAGTGTAATACAAAACG